TAACTTAGCATAGGGGCAATAAACAGTTTACAAAGACTAGAAGCAGACATTTTTTCCTGCTCTTCTACTAGCCAACTCATCAGCAGAGGCTTGAAATCTATCAGACAGATGGTGCGAGTGATGCCAAATGGCCATCGTTTCCCTATCATGACCTGCATCAGACTGTTTACAGATTAGCCACTCTCTGGAACATCACCACCACATTCACATCTAAAATGCTAAAATGTACAAAAACCATAATTGGGAATAGGGAATACACTTCCCACAAGTGGGGTTCCATTCATTTTGTGGTACTGCAACATTTTCTATAACCCCTATGGAACAGGATTCGAGAAAATCAGTTCAAACCATAGTCTTCCACACTCATGTGACTTAATCAACTAGAATAGATACAGGATCTATGGAATGTGTTGTTTGGCACACCATATCTTTTTAGCTTCATATTGAATAACGTAATAAGCTATGGTGAGGAAAATGACAATGAATACCAAAAGTGTGATTAACAGTAAAGTAAATATTTCGTCAGCTCTGGGGATGAAACCTTTGTGGGACCAAACCAGAAGATTCTAGCAGAGTGAAGGGAATGACAATGCATGTAGAGGGGGGGAAAAACAACGATTGAAACCAAGATATTCAAGTACTTAAAAAAAAGTTTATTGGTTTTTAAAACCCTTAAAAAAAAATCTCAACATCAGTGAGCACTTTCAATTAAAAAAGAAAGAAGAAACTTTGCTGAAATGCTATAGCAACTTTATCAAATTACTGTACGGTCTGCTGTACACTAGACAACAACACGGCATAGGGTTTTCTACAGGTATAGATGAAGAAGAGGGTTAAAGGGACTTTATACCAGGTCTGTGAAAGGTACAGCACAGGACTCAGCTGCCCCTGTGCACTTAAAGAAACAGACAGGGTTTGTCTTCATTTAAGTACAAACATCAGTGCTTATTTTCAATGGTTTCTGAAAAAAACTTTTCACAGATACATAAAAAAAAGTAAAAACATCCAGATAAACAGAACGGATTCAAAACCTGAACATACAGAACAAATATGGATCTGAATTAGTAAACATCAAACAATGCAAGTAACTTGTGAGTCGCTATACCTTTCTGTTCCGATTGACAGGACCAATCCTGAATTACAGCAAAGTGGTTACAAATACTCTGTACAATAGAATTCTACAAACATGCACACATATCATTTATTAACATGGTGAAAGATTTATTTCAGAATATTTTCTTTTAAAATGTTTCTTTAAATTGAGTTTTATATTCTCATGTATGAGAATGAAGTAAAAACTGTATCTCATTGAGATTAATGTACATTGCTACACAAGACAATTAGCGTTCTCATATTTCTTGATTGACACTTCTCTAAATTATTTTTTCACTTAGTTAAGCTTTAAAAAAAATATTTAGGAGGCTTCAATTGATGCATGTCCTAAAAGAGGTGCCAAAGCCTTGGTTCATTAAACGTTTAGTGCAATAACATGAACCTTCAAAGCTTGTTGAAATTTTAACCATGACATTCCGGTGTCCATTGCAATGTTCTGGACACAAAATTTGTCAGAGAAAGATAGCTATGCAACCTGCTAATATATAATACTTTTTTTAAATACCCATGCTATTTTCTCACTCGAAGCAAAAAGCAGACCAATATAAATCTCAGGAAGCAAACAAAATACAAACACCAAGCTAAGAAAAAAACGGCCTTATCTGTACAAGAAAGGGCGCCAGCGGCCAAACACACAAGCACAGTTTAGCTGGCTCCTGATCCAAAATCACCAATATAGCATTTCAGAGGGTGCAGGTGCACAGAACCAGTTTAGATTATAACAAAACAGTGTCAGAGCTTTGATATTTACAAACTGTGGGGTTAAAAAGGAGAGGAACACTTACAACAGTCAACTGAATTAACCCCAATATTGTCCTGCTACATTGGTTTTTATAAACCAGAACAGTAGTGTGGTTTTCAGCATGTTTTCCAGTGCTACAGATCAGTTGTCAGTTTCAACATTTCCTCATATTAGTTTCAACCATCCCACCTGAAAGAAGGACAATTCCAAATGGCCATATAAAAGGTATTTGACTTTTGTCAGGCAAATAGGCAAAAGACTGGGAATTTGTGGGTTCTTCTAAAAAAAATCCTATTTAATTGTTTTTTTTTCTCTCACTAATTAGTTTCTTTGGTATGGATATAAGGCTCAGAAGATTAAAAGTCCATAACCACCACAGGATCTGGCAAATTCACTATTCCCTTCATAGGTTGCATGCCTTATTCACACACTGTTCTTCACTATACAATAAGCTATTTAAACCTGTAGTAGATGACCCGTACTTTACCACTAAATGCCTTTTTATGTCTCCAGGTGAAACACGTCCCTTCACTGTTAGAATAAAACGCAGTGCATTAATGAACTCAACAAGAACATTATTCATGGGGAAGAAAATTACAATTTATACAAATGTTTTTGTAATTCTGTATTACCGCATTCCTTCAAATATTCTATTTTCTACTGGATCTAGATTAATGTAAGGGGAATAGCTTTCAATGTATGACAGTAAATTATGCACTTTAGTGCCTTTTTATAGGAATGACTTTGAATATCCAATGGCATAATATTTTTTTCCAAATCCTTGGGAGAAACTTTTTGGATTTACCATAGAAGGAAAACTATCAGATTTAATTTAATCTAAATTACTTAATATCCATCACATTGTTAACTGAATGTATGTAACACATATGAAACAAATAAAAAGAGAAGGGAAAAACCACATACATTTACATAAACCTGCAGTAACCTACTTTGACAGTAGCAGCCGCTTTGATAAGTAAAAAAATGCATAGTTTTAAAATAAATCAGAACCAGGATAAAGTCATTTTTCCCCAAATAGATACACGACTGAAACAGGGCAGGGTCTCCTCCAGTCAATACACTTTGGTATAGGGGTGTCATAAGGTTAAATTCCTATTAATATATTCCTTCACTTCCTTACTTAAATCAATATATTTCTGTTAATTAAAATGATACCTGCCAAATAGTCAAAGACCGTAAATAAATAAAAAACCACCAATGCCCTACACAAGTCTTAAAAAGCTTGATAGAGGTGAGAAAGGTAATCTTCTGTATTACATACTGTTTAATACAATATTTAACTGTCCTTTGAGCTCCATCTTAAAGCCCATTTCCTTTAGTTCTGCAGACACAAAAGTGCAAGCTATCCCCATTACAGGTCTCTATTATGATTGTTTTAAGTCTTATAAACACATACTATTCCAAACAAAGCAATCATTTTCCTTTCCTTTTGACACTAAGGACTGGGGAGCTCAACTACAGTAAGAATGTCAGCATTCAGGGCAAAATATCATGTGTGAAGCAAGCCTGGAAAATGACAACTAACAGATAACATCTGTTGTTCCTCAGCTACCTGCTCTCACAGTTTCACTGTACTCAAAAGTGCATTAACTACTGGGACTTGAGAGGACATTTGAAAAGGCGAAAAGCCATGGTAATATCAATCAATTTCAAATCTCGATTCCTAGCCTAAATTTTTGGTACCATGCACACTTGAATTTGAGTGGTCAATATCTTATTTGTAAAGTTTGCATAACGTTTCAGCAAAACTGACAATCAGACATCTTCTGACAAGTTTAGTATACAGATAGTAAATCTTGAGCTTTAAATCTATAGTTTGAATAATATTCTGTAGTCACACATTCTCTTTCAAACTGCTGCCTTTTTCCTACTACTAAAAATTCAAATTCTGAGAGAATGGAACTAGTTTGCCTCAATATCATTGCAAACAATTAAATGTTAAAAGGTCCAACGCAGTTATCTCAATATCATAATTTATTTCTGGGTAAAAATGAACTACCTTACTGTGATTGTTTTAAATTAAAAATGGTCAAAAAGTTTCTTAGCAAAGAGCAATTTCTCAAGCAATAATTTTGCAAGGCCTGAGTGGGGAGGGGGAAACTAAAAACTAGCTGTTCTTGGCAGAAGGTTTGGAACTATTTCTTATTGGTCTATTAACTAATGTGATGGTGATGTCACCAGCCAGGCCAAAACTCCATCCCACCAAAACAGGCTGAAATTTCAGGCGGTCTTTTCAAACAGCTTTTACACTAAAAAGGGCATTATCATAATTTTCACAGTATTATTCCAAGCTCAGTGGAAATATATAAAACATGGATGGTCTGTAAGTAGACCAATGATACATTTTTATTTACAGATTATGGGGAATATTTTTAAACCATTGATTGATTTTGGTATATTTTTGTCTTGCACCTGGAAGCACCTGCAATCCTTAAGGAGACTTGAAATGGCAATGAGAAACATTAGTACTAGTGCATGCTACTGCAAATGCCCTCTCAAGGTCATGTACTGTACATACAATAGCCTAGGTATCTCAACTCTTAATTGAGATGTACAGGGGCATATTAGGTGAGCATACACCCCATTTAACATTCTTGCACAACAGTATGCTTCTAAAGCAGTTCCAAATGATTTGTCTGATAAAGTCTATCTTCAGATCTACTTCCATGGAAGTAAAACAATTTACAGAGGGAGGAACAGTTGCCAATTATTTGCCAAACCTCTCTATTTAGTCAACAGCTCCTGAACCAAAAATGATACAGTCTTACAGATAGATGTTTGGTCATCTTTAAGAGATCTCTTCATATCCTCTGTGTCCTTCTGAAAAGGTACAAATACTTGTTCTTCTACTGTCTTGATTTAAATGCTCTTGAATGACTTTATGTCGTCTGAAGAGGGAGAAATGGATGAGTCAGCACCAGCGATGAGCTGTGAGAGAGAAAACCAGCATATTTGTAAGAGTGATAATATCTGTTCAGCCTGGCACTTAGACTGGACAAAAGTCATTGTATCCAGAGTGTTGCAGTGTGCTATACAATGTCAATGTGAATAATTACAAAGAAGGTTTTAAAAAAACAATACGTATAAACAATTTCACCCTCATGAAATAAAAGCAAAGCCCATATTAACCCATTAACCCGACTGTGGGCTGGTCTTTACTTTCCAGCCAATCAAATCCATTGGAATTTGCAGTCTCGCCGCAAATCTGCTGGAACAGCGGATCATTCTTCAGTTCCTCCAGTGTAGAGTCTTCATATTGTCCCTGCTGCTGATTGGGGTCAAACAGAAGGTTTGTGTCCAAATTGTTCAGGTCATTGATGCTACTGGAAAGGTCAGAGGTCAGTCGAAAATCAGACCCCACAGCGTTGAGTTCTGACACCTGTCCCACGAGCTGATTGCCAGGAGTAAGGCTGCCGTCCGCTAAGAGGTCTTTAACGGTGGTGCTGAAATCTAGCTGCTGCTGTTGTTGTTGTTGTTGTTGTTGTTGTTGCTGCTGCTGCTGAAGGTTCTGGGCCAGCAGCATAGGCTGGCTCTGCTGCTGCTGCTGCTCTTGTAGCTGCTGCTGTTCTCCAGGAGCTGATTGTGCTTGGCTGTCACCTGCTGAGAGAATCATCTGTTCGTTCCTTGAGTTCTTCATGAGGTAACCGGGCTTCTGAAATTCGTACGCATTCTGAGCATTGGAAGTCAGAGTCTGGTGGTTGGCACTGCTGGGGAAGCTGGGCGTGGTCTCCAAGATCTGGGTGAGGTTCATGCGGGCTGTGTAGTTGGACGGCAGGTTGTTGATGCCAAGGCCCCGCACCGCGTCGTCACTGTCCCCGTCCATCTTGCTCAGGAGCACGTTGGTGATCTTTTTGCTGTTGTTCTGGCCCTGCATGGGCAGTACCTCCATCTGCATCATCACGTTGACAGGCACAGACTGGCTCCTCTGTGCCATGCTGCTGACACTAACGTCCCCATGGCTGTTGGCGATGATGTTGATCATCTCGGGGGTCACAGGGGAGGTGAAGGGGGACACCACTGTTCGGGGGATGTTCTGCAGGCCGTGGTTGCCACTCAGGTTTCGCTGGCGCACGGCAGGGCTCACACTACGACAGCGGAAGGTCCCGCCTGCTGAGGATGTGCTGGTGGCCTTGTTGTCCAGAGGGGCGGGCACAGCAAAGCCCTCCTGCTTGTTCAGGTTGGCCATAGTGGCTGCCTGCTGCTGCTGCACCGGAGAGATGGGTGTCAGACGGCCGTAGTGTCCATCATGGTGCCTCGTCTGAGACTGATAGGACTGGCCAGGGATGGCGAAGGCATGGGGCTTTCGGAAGTGGTCGTCGACCAGGTCCTGATAGCTGGGGAGGATACTGATGCCGTTGATGGAGTTCCCCCCGCTGTTGTTGTAACCATTGTTCATCCACTCCAGTTTAGCCTTGTCTGGGTGAGTAGCCATGGGCCTCTGCATGGGCTTGACGGGGCTGCTGGAGACGAGGCTGCCGTCGTGGTAGCCTGTAATGCTGGAGTTAATGGGCGTGAAGGCAAAGGGGTTCCTGCACTCCACAGGGCTGGGGGGCACGCTGCCGCTGCAGTTGGAGTGTGGAGTGCCGATGGGGGTGTGTCGGCTGCTCCCCAGGGCACTGTCCACCGGGGTGGTGGGGGCTATGCGGGAGCAGGGGCTCTCCCTGGTCAGGCCCTGGCCTCCTCCCATCATCTCAGAGGTGGATGTGGGAGTTGGGGTAGGGGTGGGGGTGTGGATGGGGGTGGTGCTGCTGTGTACTGATTGGTAGTAAGAGGTCACTGTCTGGTTGGACGACATCATGTTGCCCTGCATTATAGACTGATGGCCTTGCAGCGTCACGTCAGCTCCGAAGGCCTGCAGACTGCTGTTGAGCTTCATCTGCTCCTCCATCTGCACCAGCTCCTCTACAATGCTGTCCTGGGTCATATCGTCATCATTGAAGTGGAAGTAGTCCATGTCTGTCTGCATGGAGACCTGGCTAGAGGCTGGGGCCTGGCCCATCATGGCCAGGGGCTCCATGATCGGGGTGGATGCCTGCTTGTGCTCTGTGATCTGCTGGGCGTAGGCCTGCTGCTGTTGCTTACCTCCCTCCAGCTGGTCCCCAGCCCACATGGTGTTCCTCAGGTCACTCACAGCAGACTGCTCCAGTAGGGCAGAGTTGTTGGGCATGGCTTGCATGTTACCCGTCATGTGCTGCTGGTGCTGAATTCGTGCATGACCAGCTGGGGCACTAACGTTGCCGATGCTGCTAGTGTCCATGGTGGTCGGAGTGTTTCTTCTCTGCACGGAGCTCTGTGGTTTGACAACAGTCTGGAAGCCTCTGATTCCGATGGGGGAATCAGAGAGTGACAAGATTCGAGTTGGGACAGTGGAGTTCAGTTTCACAGTAACTTTGCCGATGGCTGGTGCACTTTCAGGTCTGACCGGGGTTCCTGCCCTGGGGAGTTTCTTCACTCCTGCACCAATCCCATGTCTGTAACCATCGGAGCCCCCAACAGGCTGCTGGGAGATGAAAACCCTTTTGACAGGCGTGGGATAAGACTCTGGGCCGACGCCTGGGCGCTTCCTGGGGCTCTTGGAGGCGATGAGTGATGTGGCAACAGTGCCGCCATTGGGTGACAGAGTGGTGCTGATATTCTGATTGGAGACCGTCAAATACAAAGTGCTTTCGTTATTGGTGTTATTGCTACCAGCTGTAGCTGCCACAGTGTTGTTGCTCAAAGAGGACTTTCCGTTGCATTTGGTTCCAGCCATTGCCTCCAGTCCCAGGGAGCCTTTAGTGTGAGGTGTGGGCACACTGGCAGCCCTTGGTACAGCCCCTCCAGCCCTCTGGCCCCCTGCAGCTTCCTCAGTCATAGTAAGCCGGCTAGCAACCAGGGCCGGGCTGCCCTCACTTATGGCTTCACCCTCCATCATCTTGATGTCGATGGTAGGGGTGGTGGTGGCCCGGCCTGACCTGGCTAAGGGGGACAGGATGGGGGCTGCAGAGCCACTCCTGGCCCGTGGGCTGGGCCTGCTCTCCTCCAGGGCCACAGTGCTGCCCATGCCAGCAGAGGCAGGCCGTAAGGTGGTGTTGGTTAGGGTGGTTGTAGTGCTGCAGTTGGGAGCCAGGGATATGGTGGTCATCTTGACCACGTTGACAGAGGTGACGTGGGGCGTGGGCTGCATCACCGTCTTGATGGGGCTGTTGGTGATGAGCAGGGTGGGGGGCGAGCTCAGGGTGATGGCGCTGGTAGCTGAGGGTTTAGGCAGGATCTGGGCATAGCGGTGTCGGGCAGAGCGGTCCCCGACAGGGCTGGCTGAAATGTTCTGAGGGGTCTTGGGACACTTGACAGGCTGCATTGACTGGGTCACCACCTGGAAGTTGACAGGCAGAATCTTGCCCTCCGATGTTCCCACAGGACTGGGGGACATCAGCTGCCTGCTCCTCTGTACCTGCATATACAGCAAAGCAAAACAAGACACAAAAAAGTATTATCAAGATGTAAAAGTTATGAATAGCTTCTGTTGCACATGTGATATAGGCAACACAAAGTTATCGCTTGTATAGACGAGTAACAGGAACATTGCAAAGACAGTGGGATATATACAGTAAGCTTAGACAAACACAGAAGTAGAATACAAGCTTAGCTTACCGTGATGGGGCTGGGGACTGCAGCTACCACAATGCCAATGGTGGGATGTGGGGAGAGCAGGGCTGGGCTTCTACAGGTAATGGAGCCAACCCCAGGCGTGCCCACGTCAGCCCGCCTGGCCTGAGCCTCTCCGGGGAGGGGGGAGTGCAGCATCTGCTCCTGCTGCTTCTTCTGGATCTTCCGCTGGAGCTGCTGCTTGGCATCGATGGAGGGAGAGGGCAGGGTCTTCACTTGGGGCTGGAAGGAGTGGGCTTCAGCTGTGGGGGCGAATGCTGAGGATTGCAGCGGCGTTTTAACTCCTAAAGGGAGGAGACAGAGGAAGACCGAAACAGGTTAACACATGTTTTGGGTAAACAAATTGCCATGGTCCTCCTAGGCAGAGCAGCTTCTATTTTGCAGAAAGCATAACAATCCCACTGGGCACACACTGCTTGAATAAACATTGTTTTCACATCATTTCAATGAAATAACGATGAACCAATGTGGAATAGATGTTGAATTGACGTCTATGCCTAGTGTGATGGCTTTTAGGGACTGACAGGAGGTGGTATGTAAATGCACTAAAGCTGGTCATTGAGAAGAAGCTGCCACTAGATGGAAACCTTTCACTGTTCATCATACATGAGACTGAAGTTTGACTATCAACACATACAGTGCATTCGGACAGTATTCAGACGCCTTGACTTTTTCCACATTTTGTTACAGCCTTATTCTAAAATGGATTAAATAAAAAAAAATCCTCATCAATCTACACAATGACAAAGCAAAAACTGGTTTTGCAAATGTATTAAAAATAATAAAAAACAGAAATACCTTATTTACATAAGTATTCAGACCCTTTGCTATGAGACTCGAAATTGAGCTCAGGTGCATCCTGTTTCCATTGATCATCCTTGAGATGTTTCTACAACTTGATTGGAGTCCACCTGGGGGAAATTAAATTGATTGGACGTGATTTGGAAAGGCACACACCTGTCTATATAAGGTCCCACAGTTGACAGTGCATGTCAGAGCAAAAACCAAGCCATGAGGTCGAAGGAATTGTCCGTAGAGCTCAGAGACAGGATTGTGTCAAGACACAGATCTGGGGAAGGGTACAAAAAAATTTCTGCAGCATTGAAGGTCCCCAAGAACACAGTGGCCTCCATCATTCTTAAATGGAAGAAGTTTAGAACCACCAAGACTCTTCCTAGAGCTGTCCGCCCGGCCAAACTGAGCAATCGGGGGAGAAGGGCCTTGGTCAGGGAGGTGACCAAGAACCCGATGGTCAATGAAAGAGCTCCAGAGTTCCTCTGTGGAGATGGGAGAACCTTCCAGAAGGACAGCAATCTCTGTAGCACTCCACCAATCAGGCCTTTATGGTAGAGTGGCCAGACGGAAGCCACTCCTCAGTAAAAGGAACATGACAGCCCGCTTGGAGTTTTGCCAAAAGGCACCTAAAGGACTCTCAGACCATGAGAAACAAGATTCTCTGGTCTGATGAAACCAAGATTGAACACTTTGGCCTAAATGCCAAGCGTCATGCCTGGAGGAAAACCTGGCACCATCCTTACGGTGAATCATGGTGGTGGCAGCATCATGCTGTGGGGATGTTTATCAGCGGCAGGGACTGGGAGACTAGTCAGGATCGAGGGAAAGATGAACGGAGCAAAGTACAGAGAGATCCTTGATGAAAACCTGCTCCAGAGCGCTCAGGACTTCAGACTGGGGCGAAGGTTCACCTTCCAACAGGACAACAACACTAAGCACACAGTCAAGACAACGCAGGAGTGGCTTCGGGACAAGTCTCTGAATGTCCTTGAGTGGCCCAGCCAGAGCCCGGACTTGAAACCGATCTAACATATCTGGAGAGACCTGAAAATAGCTTTGCAGCGACGCTCCCCATCCAACCTGACAGAGCTTGAGAGGCTCTGCAGAGAAGAATGGGAGAAACTCCCCAAATACAGGTGTGCCAAGCTTGTAGAGTCATACCCAGGAAGACTCAAGGCTGTAATCGCTGAAAAAGATGCTTCAACAAAGTACTAAGTAAAGGGTTTGAATACTTATGTAAAATGTGATACCCGTTTTTTAATTTTAATACATTTGCAAAATGTCTAAAAACCCGTTTTTGCTTTGTCATTATGGGGTAGTGTGTGTAGATTGATGAGGGGGGGAAAAACATTTAATCAATTTCAAAATAAGGCTGTAACGTAACAAAATGTGGAAAAGGTCAAGGGGTCTGAATACTTTCTGAATGCACTGTATTGTCACCTGTTGGTGTACCAGTCATGACCGTGAGGGCTGCCACAGATTTGGTGCCGATGTAGTGGCTGTTGAGGAGGAAGCGAGCCAGGTCCTCCACAGCATCAAACTGGCGGCTCAGCACCTTCTGGGCCCATTCACACACCAGGCCACAGGCCGCAGAGCGCACCTCCTCCTCCGCACTGCACAGCTGACCTGAGGGCTCCAGCACCTCACACTGAAGCACAACACAGACACATGTACAGGTATTAGGAATTATAGTCGTATATATCCCTGTATCATTTTCAGTTCAATATGAAGCCTCAAAATGTGGTCATTTAACACATTACATTAAATAAAGTTATGTTATGGTTGGACTACAGTTAGGCAAACCTTTCATGCTTATTTATTTATTTTCTTGAAAATCTATTTAAGTAAGGTAAAGACCTTGAGAGAGGAAGGCGTACAGATAACTTACCCCGTCCCCTGTTTTATGTAACTCCAGGTTGGGTAAAGATGGCATGTGGACAAAGGCTTTCTTCCTCAGTCCACTATAGCAGTATGTGAGCAGGGGTTAAGGTCAAAAACACTGAAAGGTCAAACATTTAAGAGTTAATTTATGGATGTGCTAAAATGTGTTGGTTGTTTGTCTGTAAAGAGCAGGGCATTAGTGCTTCAGGGACCATTCTAGCACTGAGAGACTGGGATTGCCCCACAGGATAGGGTAAGAAACGTGCCTCAGGGCAGAAGGTCAGTTGTCACCCACAGACGGATCTGAGGAAGAGCCTTCTCACCCGAAGCTGAAAACAGCTATCTCCCAGCCAGCATCAGTTTCTAGTCACTCCACTACTAATCCCTTAGCCCCTCAGGCCTCTCACACTCCCACTGAACCTTCTCTTCCCCCTCCAACCTTTCATGCTGTGACCAACCCCACTGCCCAAAATAAGGCGGTGTGGATTTGTGGTGAGAGCTAGCCTTTTATCAGACGCTGGTGTGAGAGGGTGACAGCAGGTGCTCCCTGCTGAACACTTCCAGACACTTAGGAGGTGTCTCACGCAACCAGGCAAAGAGCTACTCAGAGTTATAGCACAGTTATGAATGACTCACTTTCTCTCACACAAAACAAATAATAAAATATAGACAAATAGGTCCAAGAGTGTGATCTTGAATTAACTTGTACCTTCGTAGAGTGTGTATTACATTTGGAAACAGAAAATAGTTCATTTTAAAAAGAGAGATATAGATTACTAAGCAAGCCACAGCTCAAGATGTTCTGACTTGGTCTGATTTGACTTGGGCGCTCATATTGAGTTTCAGTTGCTATTGCAACCGCCATATAAAAACAAGGTCTATTTCAGAAAGGCTCCGCATTGAAAATAAAAAGTGCATGCATATGCAAGTATAAGTATATAAAATGTATGCACTCACTAACTAAGTCGCTCTGGATAAGAGCGTCTGCTAAATGACTAAAATGTAAATGTATATTATACTTTTTTTTTTTTTAACTCCACCTCAACAAAATAAGAATAAACTCATTTGTCACTATACTAATTTAACGGACACTAATCTCATTGGAGACTGTAGCTTTGCCAAGTCTAGAGTCGTGATCTCATGGAAAAGACATTGAAAAGACATTTCACAAATTGTTTCCTGAAGGTCAAGTACACAGTGATTCCCCTAAGTGTCTCTGTCCTACTCTACTGCTCTCCAGGCAGAGGCCGCTTTATTTGATTTAATTTCAGTTCTATATTTAGAGTCTCCATGAACTGAGACAACAGATGTTCTGCGACCAGAGTCCAGAGAGGCCAGATTGTTCGCTACAAACCATTCCAGTGAAGGATATTTTGATTTTGCCTCTCATGCCAAGTCGACGTGCCTTCATGTTTGGAAATACATTTTTCATGATCTTTCCAAAGTCCGCCGCACTCAGTGGGTGGTAGCAGAGATTGTCACAATAGCTCCTGAAACAGACAGACAGACAAACAGAGAGTAAACATTTGTTCGTCAGGGGAAGTAAAGTTCAGATAAACAAGGCATTGGAAATCTCAGTAAAACCAAATAAACAATGTTAAATATCAAATAAAGACAGTATCAAATAAAGAGTCACATAAAAACAGTGACATCTGGGTGAAGACGTTCCCAAAGAAATCAGAACCATTATTAGTACTTTCATTTGCAATGAATGAGGACGTCAAACTGTGTGCTACGTAACAGTCACATAGCATTTCAATGACTGTTTCAGACTTTCCGTTCTAGTGTTACCAACACATGGTGCACATCTTTTCCCATGCTTTCTACATCTATCTATATTGGTGCTTTGGCTGGCAGTATGTAGATCCTTCATAGCTGGCAGTGTACGGTAAAGGATAATTTCTTTAGTAACAGTGCTTAATGCCAAATGCTATGTACTTTCATAACATGCATCTCACGTCATAAAATAAAACGGTCATACAAATGTGTACCTTGTTCTTGTGAAACCTCTTAGAAGTCAAGTGTTCATGGAAATCAAATTCAAAAGTAAATCCATCCATTTCCACCTGGTATGGAATTTAACCTGTCAGGTATTCCAAACACCCTATAATAGCTGTACACAGTGCTATCAATATGTTTCTAAATTGGTGTGGTGTCCGTTTCCAGAACATCAAAACAGGATGACAGTGTTTTCTGTTTGTATTTAACAGTGCTAGTGATTTGAAAATGACCCGAGCTGGGCAAAGTCCCCTTGGCTTCACACTTCCCTATGTCCCCTTTCTCACAGTCAGATACCCACTTGTACTCGTCATAGACCTCCTGTTTGGGCAGAGAGGTTTCTGGGTGTTCCTCTAGGTGATTGCGGATCCAGTTGAACGCGTGCATCTGCTGAGTGCGGCTTGATGACATGGAGCTCTGATCACTGCTAGAGAAAGCAGGAGAAAATAGGTTATTTACAGTACAATCACAAAAAAACATGACTGCCGAATCTACCTTTCCCGCCCCATTTTTCAAATCCAACCAACACAAATCCCCCCCATGTCTCTGTGTTTTAAGTGAGAGAGGTTTATGTACCATGAGAGTTCTCCAGGACTGGCAGACCCTCTCTCAGTCCTGATGGGCATCGTGTGCAGTGTTGGGGGGTTGAGGTGGTGGAGGTGATGAGGATTAGATGTGGAGAACAAGTAGGAATTGATCATTGCTTTTCAATCAAGGTATGATAATGACAACATCAATGAGCAGTGTGTGTCACCTGATCCTAAACTAACTTCAAGCCACTTCCCGGGCCCCTGGACACTTTTGTAGATGTGAGAGGATTGGATAAGTTCAAGTAATATAGGGAAATTCCTCTTAGCCTATCAGAAGGCAAGGTAAAGCTATAACAGTATTCCTTAGGCCTAATACATATCCAATCCTTTTAGATCTACACACATTCCTAGGGAGTAAGGGCTTCGGTCGATTTGGAATTAAGCGTGTGTGTGTGTGTGTGTGTGTGTGTGTGTGTGTGTTACAGATCAAATATACACGAGAGAGAATACAAGACATACATTTACACATATTTTGCAAAAAGGTAAAATGTGAAGGGTTGAGGAAAGACGTTATTAACAAGTTATTAAGTAAGGACTTTCAATCAGAACACACACACACACACACACACACACACACGTTGTAGTCCTATGTGGGAAATCAATATCAAATCAATCAATGCAATGATTAAAGAAACTGCCAAAGCTTATTTGCTCTCTAAGGGAGAGAGTTTAACATAATGAGCAGAGTTTTACATAAAAACAGTCCAAGCTAAGGTTGACAGCCATTGTAATAGATGTGGGGATGGTATAGGGTGCAGAACATCCACAGTGCATTCGGAAAGTATACAGACCCCTTGACTTTTTCCACATTTCGTTACATTACAGCCTTATTCTAAAATCAATTAATAAATAACAACATCAATCTACACACAATACCCCATAATGACAAAGTGAAAACAGATTTTTAGAAATGTTTGCTAATGTATTAAAAATAAAAACATAAATACCTTATTTACATAAGTATTCAGACCCCTTTGCTATGAGACTCGACATTGAGCTCAGGTGCATCCAGTTTCCATTGATCATCCTTGAGATGTTTCTACAACTTGATTGGAGTCCACCTGTGGTAAATTCATATATCGACAGGCACACACCTGTCTATATAAGGTCCCACAGTTGACAGTGCATGTCAGAGCAAAAACCAAGCCATGAGGTCGAAGGAATTGTCCGTAGAGCTCCGAGACAGGATTGTGTCAAGGCACAGATCTGGGGACGGGTACCAAAACATTTAGGCAGCATTGAAGGTCCAAGAGCAGAGCAGCTTCCATCCTTCTTAAATGGAAGAAGTTTGCAACCACCAAGACTCTTCCTAGAGCTGGCCGCCCGGCCAAACTGAGCAATCAGGGGAGAAGGGCCTTGGTCAGGGAGGTGACCAAGAACCCGATGGTCACTCTGACAGAGCTCCAGAGTTCCTCTGTGGAGATGGGAGAACCTTCCAGAAGGACAACCATCTCTGCAGCACTCCACCAATCAGGGCTTTATGGTAGTGTGGCCAGACGGAAGCCACTCCTCAGTAAAAGGCACATGACAGCCCAAAAGGCACCTAAAGGACTCTCAGACCATGAGAAACAAGATTCTCTGGTCTGATGAAACCAAGATTGAACTCTTTGGCCTGAATGCCAAGCGTCACATCTGAAGGAAACCTGGCACCATCCCTATGGTGAATAATGGTGGTGGCAGCATCATGCTGTGGGGATGTTTTTCAGCGGCAAGGACTAGGAGACTAGTCAGGATCGAGGGAAAGATGAACGGAGCAAAGTACAGAGAGATCCTTGATGAAAACCTGCTCCAGAGCGCTTAGGACCTCAGACTGGGGCGAAGGTTCACCTTCCAACAGGACAACGACCCTAAGCACACAGCCAAGACAATGTAGCAGTGGCTGCGGGAAAAGTCTCTAAATGTCCTTGAGTGGCCTAGCCAGAGCCCGGACTTGAACCCGATCGAACATCTCTGGAGAGACCTGAAAATAGCTGTGCAGCGACGCTCCACATCCAACCTGACAGAGTTTGAGAGGATCTGCAGAGAAGAATGGGAGAAACTCCCCAAATACAGGTGTGCCAAACTTGTAGCGTCATACCCAATAAGACTCGAGGCTGTAATCGCTGCCGAAGGTGCTTCAACAAAGTACTGAGTAAAGGGTCTGAATACTTATGTAAATGTTATATTTCCGTTTTTATTTGTAATAAATTAGCAAACATTTCTAAAATCCTGTTTTTGCTTTGTCATTATGGGGTATTGTGTGTAGATTGTTTTAATCAATGTAATCAATTTTAGAATAAGGCTGTAACATAACAAAATGTGGGAAAAGTCAAGGGGTCTGAATACTTTCCGAATGCACTGTATATTATGCTACTAGGCTAATGGATAATGGGGTAGATCATCAACATTCGGCTAAGTCATGTGCATATGGCATGGAACTGCATGCATGCAGACATGACACAAAACAAACGCTGTTCAATCAAATGAAATAATTATCAATTACCTTTTTTCACTGTTGCTGGGACCAGAAGGCAACTTAAGGTAGAGGTAGAGTTTCTCGATGTCTGTAAACTTCTCCACATCTTGCTGTAAAAGCGGAGCACAGGGAAGAAGAGAGATAACAAATAGGTTCATGGTTTTTTTTCAAGTGCCATTTTTTTTCTTCTGTTCTGTCATCCCTGTGATGAGTAGGGTAGGAGGAAGAGGAGGAGGAGTAGTATTCATGGTAGTGTCTTTATCACGCCACTGACTTAACATGCTTGACTGATGTCTCTCTCAGGCCAAACACAGTCCAGTCCATGAGAAAGGAAATGCTTCTTTTAATTCTCACTACTTCAATAATCCACTAAAATGTGTTCCACAAAGGTTGACAGTTTACCTTCTACTCCAGCTAGAAGAGCATGAATAATACAGAAACGTTTCCTTTTTAAATGGTCCATTCTTAGTCTACTCTGAGTGAAGTCAGGTGTTCTCTGTTTCTGCTGTAGTAACACAGAAAGCTAAGTGTTTAGTTGTACAACGTAGGACTCGTTGAGGCACCATCAGTGTAAAGATGTAAATTAAACAATTATGAAATGTAAGACAAAGACTCTTCAGTTCCAGTGAAACCTAAAACAACCATTTCAAACAACCCCCTTAGTTCGGTTGGACTAGTTTGAACACTATCCGCACCCGGGAGCGCACGAAACAACGCATTTTTGTCCAATAAACAAATTACTTGCATGGACACATGGTTTTGTTTAGGAGTTTTAGTTCATTTGACATTTGGTAATGTGAAACCAACCGGACCAAATGAAAAAAATACAATGTAACAAATATTCAAACTCTGATACAAACTATAGCTCAAAACTGTGTGTGAAAAACCCCCAAAAGACAACAAACAATGTTCAGGAACAAATACCCCCCCCCCCGCCACAAGAAAACAAAAACATGGATGATCCTGCAAATGAGATTAGGGACGTAAAGGAGAGATTATAAAATCAGAGAGATAGGGAAAGGGCTGGAAGTTGCTGCAGAGAGAACCACTGATCTTTGTGCGGTCTTGTTCAGAAGGATCCTGGCTGCATCCTGATAAACAGTGCTCGAGCTAAGATCAATGTGGACGAGTGTCAGGATAAACAAAATTACACAGAAACACTCAACCTCATGGATTCTGAACATTTCTAAAACATTTGTGCGTGTGCAGTAAATACCACAGGGTGTTAAAGATCAACACAGGGGGTCCTCATCCCTGCCGCAATGACAAAAGCCATGAGGAAATCTCTTAATGAGATCAAACAAATGTTTCCATCGAGGGGAGAGGGTTGGTGTGTGTGGTTTGCACTGAGAGCTCCTAAGGATGTTTTCACACTTGGTCCCTTTCAGCAAAAAAAGAAATTCAGTGCAGTTCAATACATTTTTTGTGCAGTGTGAACACTCCAAAGGAACTCAGGCCCCTCAAAAGAGTCCCTGACGCGAACCGAACTGAGACCATCTCGAAAGGTGGTCTGAGTTCGGTTCGCTAGAATTCCGACTGTCCGGTTCCCTTTTTTAGGGCAATGTGAACACTAAAGTTCCCAGGTTCACTTGTCATTATTCCCACACCACACACTAGACTATTGCAATAAACCCTCACATTGGTGCCACAAAAGAGAGAAGATGATGATGTGCAGGTTCGCGGGAAAAACGTGTGCCATTTTTGGGATTGTTAAGGATGCACAGAAATACCAAAATATGTGTGGAGTTTTTAGTTCAGATTATTTGTTTGAAATGTGTGATCTATAGGCTAAGAGAGCTTCATAATTAGATTATGGGGTTTGAATAGTGTGAGAAGACAACATGAGACATATGATATCTGTTCTTTTAAAGAGGACTATATGTGAAAACACCCTAACAGATACCTTGAAGGAACATTAGGATAAATACGAGGTGATGGAGCCCTGCAATATCCAGAGGGGGTTGTTACAGCTACCGTGGGTCAGTGTTATGACTTTAACAAGCACTGATACCTGCTAACCTAACAAGCAGACTGCTTTTAGACAGTTCATTACGGTTAGCCAAATAATGCTGGAGGCAGACTTTTCCATGTGAATGCAGATGATTAGGGTGTCACACAGATGCCTTAGGGGTGTAGCCCAGCTACCCAATGTTTTACAACACATCAACAAACATTAACTGAGAGAATGGTTTCAGTATTTGGAAGCTATTTCACTGAGTGACTGGACAGCATGCCAAAAAGTCCCCACCAAAACAGAGGAGATGATGAGGTAGCCTAAATCTGGTATTTGTGTTTGCAGGGTTTTGGCACGGGGGCAGAGGGTCTGGCATGTGCAGCACTGGGTCTCACAGATGTCATGACATAGGATCTTTGGGGTTGTGTCACGCCATGATCTGATCTGACCTCCACAGCTCAGTGACCACATCCACTCACCGCCTGGACAGTGCATTAGCACCACAACAACAGCACGACAAGTGGCCAAACATGCCACAGATAAGTACAACTTACAACAGTAAACAAACAAGCAAGCACTGGATCACACTTGCACTCTTACTCACTGTTTCTCGCTTAAACCTTCCCCCTCAATCACACATAGGCAAGCTTTGAAACGTGCTGGCACGCATGCACATGCACACACACAGCTAAGCTCAGCTGTGAAACACATTGGCTCATACACAGGCACGAAAAATAAATAAAAGCACAATCTGTATATCTCACCCTCTCTCTACCCCAGTACTACAATGGATGGTGGGTGCTAGTTGAACCCAACCCAGTTCAGTGTTTGGAGGATGACTGGGCCCAGAGCTACAAACGACAAACAACCCTCTCCAACTAGCTGCTTCAAAGGGAATAGGGAAGATGATAGGGCGGGGCAGGAGTGATTTAAATTCTGCTGGAGTAGAAGGCGGCAGACGAGAGACTTTGGCTCCAGGCACAACTCTCCAACACAGAGCGGGAGGGCCCTGCAGGGAGGAGGGGGCTCACACATCACGTTCTGGATTCTTGATGAGCTGCACCGTAGTAGAGCTTTAGCACCCAAAAACAACATCCTCATCTGAAGGGGCCATGGTGCCTCTGTCTACTACACAATAATCACAGTTTTAAAACAGTAACCAACATGTGGTGCGATTGTTTTTTCTAGCACCTACTTGTTATCTCAAAAAATTTAATTAAATCAGAGACAAACACAAATTAATAATGATGTTTATTTACTTTCAAGACCGATTGAGAGACCACAACGACAACATCTAAAAGCAGAAGGGATACAGACAGTCCCATGGAATTTTAATGACCCACCCAACCCCCCATAGAGGAAGTCATCGGAGGTAGCAATAATCCGAGGAATACCTAATCCGGGGGCTAGCAGAGCGGGCAGTTAAGCTCACGTAAACAAGCTTTTGTTTTCATGGTGTCTGCTGTAGGAGACCAATGCTAGGGGACATCAGACCACCAGACCAGTGGTTTACATTGTGGTGCAGACTGCAGTGGACAGCCAAACATTTCCAGAGCAGCATCTCTGACACCAACGTTATGGAAAAGAGCTAAACACCCAACACATGATCATAAAGAGAAGCTCTGGGTGCCATAGCAGGGAGGGGACAAACACTCAAACACACACACAAACACACAGAGATGCTGACAAGCGTGTCTTGACAGCATGAGTGCACAGAGCCAGACAGCCATCAGCGGAGCTGGGGGATCGGTTTGTGCGCAGCGCCGGCAGACTGTGAGCTAAACTGAAATCTCCTGCCGTTAACCCTTTCCCCTGAACTGGCCTCTGCTAGCGGAGTGGTCAGCAGCCCCCGCCGAACATAGCCACAGCGTACACACACTGCGTACGTACACACACTACCAACACACTGCTCCCCACCCCTGTTCAATTGGTTTATAAGAATAGACGCATTCGCCCCTCCGTCTTTTCTATTCGCCTCTTTGTTGCTAGGGGAATGGGAGCGCACCAATGGCTAAAGTTATCAGCCACTGAGCAGCGTTAGCGATGGGGGGGTAAATAAAAATGGCTCGCAGACAGACAGACGTCGTGGAGCCAACTGGACTCTCCTTTTTAGAACGAGAGTCTGATGGAGTGGAAGAGAGTAAAACAGACACGCTGGGCTACGTTACACACCCTCTGTCAGACAAAGGAGCGATGATTCCTAGTGGTCCTTCACTTGCGGAGCACAGGACATCACACCCTGCTGCTGCCAGACAAGCCCCACTACTTCACACAGCACACTTCCAAAGTAGAAGTAAAGGCAAGTCAATGTTTTCCAAATACTCTACAAACCAGACTATAATCAAAGTCCAACACAAATTCTCAACTATATTTACAGTAACAGTCAAAAGTTTGACACACCTACTCATTCCAGGGTTTCTCTTTATTTTTACTATTTTCTACATTGTAGAATAATAGTGAAGACCTCAAAACTATGAAATAATACATTTGGAATCATGTAGTAACCCAAATAGTATAAAATAAATCAAAATATATTTTATATTTGAAATTCTTCAAAGTAGCCACCTTTTGCCTTGATGACAGCTTTTCACACTCTTGTCATTCTCTCAACCAGCTTCATGAGGTAGTCACCTGGAATGCATTTCAATTAACAGGTGTGCCTTGTTAAAAGTTAATTTGTGGAATTTCTTTCCTTCTTAATGCGTTTGAGCCAATCAGTTGTGTTGTGACAAGGTAGGGGTGGTATACAGAAGATAGCCCTATTTGGTAAAAGACCAAGTCCATATTATGGCAAGAACAGCTCAAATAAGCAAAGAAACGACAGTCCATCATTACTTTAAGACATGAAGGTCAGTCAATACGGAAAATTTAAAGATCTTTGAAAGTTTCTTAAAGTGCAGTCGAAAAAAACATCTAGCGCTATACCGAAACTGGCTCTCATGAGGACTGTCACAGGAAAGGAAGTCCCAGAGTTACCTCTGCTGCAGAGGATAAGTTCATTAGAGTTACCAGTCTCAGAAATAGGCAATTATCTGCACCTCAGATTGCACCTCACAGAGTTCAAGTAACAGACACATCTCAACATCAACTCTTCAGAGGAGACTGCGTGAATCAGGCCTTTATGGTCGAATTTCTGCAAAGAAACCACTACTAAAGGACACCAATAAGAAGAGGAGACTTGCTTGGGCCAAGCAAACACGAGCAATGAACATTAGACTGGTGGAAATCTGTCCTTTGGTCTTAAGAATCCAAATTTGAGATTTTTGGTTCCAACCGCCGTGTCTTTGTGAGACGCAGAGTAGGTGAACGGATGATCTCTACATGTGTGGTTCCCACCGTGAAGCATGGAGGAGGTGGTGTTGGGGTGCTTTGCTGGTGACACTCAATGATTTATTTAGAATTCAAGGCACACTTAACCAGCATGGCTTCCACAGAATTCTGCAGCGATATGCCATCCCATCTGGTTTGCGCTTAGTGGGACTATCATTTGTTTTTCAACAGGACAATGACCCACAACACACCTCCAGGCTGTGTAAGGGCTATCTGACCAAGAAGGAGAGTGATGGAGTGCTGCATCAGATGACCTGGCCTCCACAATCACCTGAACTCAACCCAATTGAGATGGTTTGGGATGAGTTGGACTGCAGAGTGAAGGAAAAGCAGCCAACAAGTGCTCAGCATATGTGGGAACTCCTTCAAGACTGTTGGAAAAGCATTCCAGGTGAAGCTGGTTGAGAGAATGCCAAGAGTGTGCAAAGCTGTCAAGGCAAAGGGTGGCTACTTTGAAGAATCCAAAATATATTTTGATTTGTTTAACACATTTTGGGTTAATACATGATTCCATATGTGTTATTTCATAGTTTTGATGTCTTCACTATTATTCTACAATGTAGAAAATAGTAAAGATAAAGAGAAACCATGGAATGAGTAGGTGTGTCCAAACTTTTGACTGTTACTGTATATGGATACCAGTAGTCATCACTGCTTGGGTGTCCAAGATCCCTCACTGTTGGCCATGGTTTACTTTCATTACCACTGGTAATTAGTTCAGTATCAAAGTTTTAGTAGGGTCTGCTCTGTTCTACATTTTGGGAGTTGAGACAAAAGGTCATCGTTAGAAGGGGAATCGACCAATTCTGTTGGACCAAACCTCAAACGCAAATAGCAAGTTGAAACTGCTTGTTGTCAGAGAGGTTGAAGAGATCTTTCGGTACACACAGCACAGAAGGAGGAGGGGCTTGGTGTCTGTGTGGGAGTGGGAAGGTGCACAGTGCACACAGCACAGAAGGAGGAGGGGCTTGGTGTCTGTGTGGGAGTGGGAAGGTGCACAGTGCACACGCAGAGAAGGAGGAGGGGCTTGGTGTCTGTGTGGGAGTGGGAAGGTGCACAGTGTACACGCAGAGAAGGAGGAGGGGCTTGGTGTCTGTGTGGGAGTGGGAAGGTGCACAGTGCACACGCAGAGAAGGAGCGAAGGAGACGAGACCAAAAAGACAAAATGCTCATAAAAACTGAAAAATATATAAATCTCGATTCTTGTGATACAGGCATTTGGAACATCGCACTAAAACACACATTCAAATTAGTTCCATATCGCCCAGCCCTACTTCTGCAGTCATTCAACTTCAGCCACTCATAGACCTTACATCTCTGAACTCCATTTGCACTTTGACTGGCCTGAGTCTGAAGACCCTACAAACTACAGCAAACAGCACCCTTGGCAGGGGCAAGTGTACACACTCGGATGACAATCCTAAATGAGTCAGTGTCAGCAGACAGTCTACACTCCCCTGCACCTTCACACGGCCAATGTTAAATACCCATCCACCACCATCCCTAATCGTATATCAGTCCCCTCGGTACCAACAACATCAACAGAACATTTATAGACTGGTTGTATTCTGGCGCCAACTACTATAGCTTCTTTTGGATGAAAGACAAGTTCAGAAATGATGGCAGTTACACAACTAGCTATGCTATGCTATGCGTCGGCAAAACTGAGCTATGGCGTCAACCCGACAACATTATTACCGAGTCTGATACCATTTAGGAGAATGAGCTAGACATGAAGGGAAAACCTGATTGGTTGTGATGAGTCTCAGAGAAACTGAAAGCTGTTAGAGGAAACGGGTTAAGCCTCTGGTTACATTGGCTTGTTACTGTACGTTATCTACTCTGTCTCAACCACCTGGCAGACGACCTCTCTCTCACATCACAAGAACCACTGACCTGTCTCTGAGTCTTCCAACTAAACCCAAAGCTCTATGGCGAATGAATATTCACACAAAGGGCAGCTAACTGAGGACATCTGAACAGAATCAGTTTGAGATGAGGCCAGACACCAGAAAGAGATGCCTCATGCAGACCCTGATCGTGGAAGACTAGTAATATTATTAAGACATTACTAGTGGAGCGTGGGCATTAGTGATTCAGCAAACACACAGATGGGTTATACCACTCACTCCACTGAAAGACTAAAACGGCCATCTCTCCCCAGAGAGCATTCTCCCATCTCCATAAGACACAGTCTGAGGCAGGAAACAACCAGAGTATCAACACAAGTTTCATTATTGATGTGTGTTCTACTTATCACCACCGCTGACATGTTCAACATCTGTAAATTAAAACAGAGGGAGATAGTGGGGTTAATATTAGACGCTAGTGCTTTCCCATGTCCTCTAGAAATCCTTAAGAGGAAAATAAAATAAAGTCTGTCGGAATTGAACAACGTAAGAGAACAGAGACCCTTGTGGAATACAACTGAAGGCATAAACCTTTAATGAGTGCAGCTGATGCAAGGTGGCGTGTGAGATTGCAACATTTAGCACTGTAAAGCTGACTGGAGTACGGGAGCTCATGCGTGTATTGCTGACTCTGGCACCTGCCACGAACATGGAGATTTGTGTGAAACTTTGGGGCTCCAGGGATTCTGTACTCTGCACTTAACAGTACACGAGACAAGACTTTAACCACTGGGATTGTGGTCCCCTTTCACTGAGGAGGAGAGAGGGACAAGGCAGGTCAATGAGGACAAACACTCGTTGACCTCCTTATATGTGTAGCCTGAGTGCAAAACGTAGGCTACAATGTGGCAGTGGTGGTGGGTGATTTGATAGCTTTGACAGGTCTAGCTGTCTATCCTCAACATACCTCTTGGTAAGATACACCTCTGACAAGCTGAAGCCCAGCCTGCAGTATTGAATAAAGTAAACACAGCAGGTTTCCCAGAGTAACTAGAGTGTAGCCTTGACCTCTGCTCAGTCTCCTGCCTCTCCTGCTGGGAATGGCAATGCACTGGATCTTACCTCAGTGTTGTATAGCACCCATCTCTATTGACGGGCATAATATTTCTATACTTGGTCAATTACAGTACATAGGGCCAAATCCTCACATGAACACACGTAAACATCTTGAACTTTCAGGTAAACCATGTGCTGCAGATGTCAATAGGAGATTTGTGTGAACGTTTGACTGAGTTATGTTCAAGTATCTCAAGTTGGGTTTTAGATGATAGACTGTAAGTCGCTTTGGATAAAAGCGTCTGCTAAATGGCATATTATTATTATTATTATTAATGTTCAATCACACCGTGGTTGATTGAATTTCAGTTGAAGGCCAGAACCTATGAGCAAAAACACAAAGGTCTAAAAAGATCAAGTGATGACAATTGTTTATTAGTTTATTTAACCTCTATTTAACCTTTATTTAACTAGGCAAGTCAGTTAAGAACAAATTCTTATTTACAATGACGGCCTACACGACAAAGGGACATGACCACTGTTTTCGTTACAACACCAAGCACAACGAGGTAAATCATTTCATCCCATCTTCTGGAGACCATTACGAGCCTAATACTGTGTAGTATAACTATAGGACTCATTATGTAAGATGAAATGGGTTAGTGGAGTTTCAGTGAGATCATTCAACAGGACTGAGCAGTATTTTTTGGTCAGCAATGGCTGTCAGCAAACTGTTTCATAACGGGGCTACTTTCAGCTCTGATATCAAGTGTGGTATAAATAAGTCAAACATGGGACCACCTGCTTAAATACTACAGACAGAGTAGATCTCAATGCTGCATCCTTTAACATAGTCTCACGACACTGGCGAGGAGGTGAGAAGCACAGAGATTACATTTCAGAAACCTAAAATGTACCTTACCTTATTCAAGTCAAAAACATACCTTAAATATTGGGGGGAAAAGTTTAACAATTGTGAACAGAGCATGCATTGTGGTTAAAGGCTTTATGACAAGGAAGACTCACCAAAATATTGTCCACATTTGACTGTACAGATTTGCTGAAAAAGAAGGGAAACATAAGACAAATTAGTATGACGCAAGTGTAATGTGAGCACCATGCATAAACCGGATGTATTAATAAATCTGTGGAACGTAAGGCATGAGACAACCCTCCCACCCGCTTCTCCCTGGTCATAACCAATATATCCCAGGAACATGTTGTCATATGTAAAAATGGAGATAGACACTACATAAATGTCCTATAGCACTCAATGCCTATTAATAATACCTCCCTCAGAAAGTCCTTGACGGTCATTGAGGGGACTTCAATCCAGTACAAACCGGTATCTAGGCCTAATCCATATAAAAAGGTACTGTAAGATCTGACTTGACCTCACGGCAATGTCATACTGCTAGAAACACAGAAAGGAAAGTCAACCTATCATTAATTCATCCCACAGCATATTAGTCAAAGGACCTATAAGCCACACACATGCTCTCTCAGACAGCCAGTTAAAATCAAAAGAGATAACGGACTCACTGACTGTTGGTTACAATCGTTCACAGACAGCCTGCTACAGTTCCTCACAGTGAAGTGAGTGGAGAGGTCGCTAATGCTTTCACAGTCAGAGACTATTGTGGCCCCTTGCTGAGTCCGCCCACTCAAAAACAACACACATCTACTCCCATAGCCTGAATTGACCCAATTTCCTCTCCATAGCCTTCAGAAACATCACGTGAGGCCAGTCCTGGATATTGGTGTGAACCACAACACAACTCAAAAGGTTAATTGAGAGATGCAGAATTGTAAACACTTTCTCTCACTCTGTGTGTGTGTGCGTGCGTGCATCCACATTCTGCAGCTCAAGAGGTGAGTGGTCCATGACACTTCTCCAATTGAACCACATGGTAAATCCCTCTCTGTGGCACAGCTCGCTTTCAAGTCAGTTTACTTTGATAACATTTACATTTTTAGTCATTTAGCAGACGCTCTTATCCAGAGCGACTTACATTATCTTTTTTTTTCTCATACTGGAATCGAACCCACAACCCTGGCGTTGCAAACGCCATGCTCTACCAACCATTCCCTCCGCTACCCTGGACGACGCTGGGCCAATTGTGCGCCGCCCCATGGGTCTCCCGGTCGCGGCCGGCTACGACAGAGCCTGAATTCGAACCAGGATCTCTAGTGGCACAGCTAGCACTGCGATGCAGTGCCTTAGACCACTGCGCCACTTGGCTCTCATGCAATGGCCTCTCACACTACTAAGAATCAATACAAGAACTGGTCATAATGAGGCAGGCAGCTCCTATTTGATCATCTATTACAATGAAGGGGCAGAACCTAGGACTTACTCATTTGTTATTAAGTAAAAGGTACAGGTCAGGTTCAAATGTCAGGTTGCTGCTGTGTGATATGGGGCCAGGTCAGACTGAGGGGCTGTTACTAGGTTACTCAGGGCAGGTCAGAATCAGGAGACTGTTATTAGCTGTGACGGAGAAAGTAAGCTTTAATGGACTGTTACTAGGTGAGGCCAGGATTTCTCAGTGTTGATAATAAGCAGGTCTGCCAGGTTCCTCTCATTAAGCTGTTTCTAGGTAAGGCCAGGCAGGTACAGAGAGAGCGCCTCGTTAAGCCATTGTTGCTGTGGAGAGCTGGGAGGGGATTGCGAAAGGGAAAGACAGGATTTAGATTCTCCCTGCCGGATCCTTACTGCACATCACTCCAGTTTTAAAATGTTCTGCAGCAATTATACCCCCGTTCTGGCCACACAGCATTACTTAACAAGCTCTGCCTATAATCACTTAGTCAGGACTATAACCTCACTGGGCAGGGTACACAATAATATTGATGACTGGCATTACAAAGGGGGTTTAGGGGTAAATCAACCTGCAGTATAAAAATGGCACAGATTCCTCTGACATTTTGATTTAAAAAATGAAATAAAAACATTCCTGTGGGTCAGAGTGGAGTCTATGAGTTTGTATCTCTACCTGTCCCTAAATGTTGAGTTTGGTGATTTTCATGTGAAACATGGACCCATTGCCATGCAGGGCTGTACGTACATTAAGACTGAGGAAGTCTGGTTTCTAAACACATCCTGTTGAACCCTGGGCTGGCAGTAGTGGAGTTCAGCTCGGAGTGATGAACCCACTCACCCTGCCTATGTTGGCCTCATTCATCTATATCCAAGCTGCACCAGGTCACTGAGGTAAACTTGAACATGTCTGTTCTAATTATTTTACTGTATTTAGTGTAATGCACCAACCGCCACAGCTTGAGATTTACATGATTGATTGTATATATTTGCTGGATTTTGTCTCTCACAAAAACCTTTCTGCACTAAGCAGCTAACTGCTGCATATTGGTTCAGAAACCCTTGAATGAACATCAACTAATGTGCCTACATCTACCACACAACAGGTCTTATTTCAGCATTTCAATAAATCATTCTGAAACGTTGAGATATAAGAGCCTAAAGTCAAAACACAAATCAACAACATTCGAAAAAGATAACTGGTAATATGACCTGACATGTGCAAATAATCCACATCTTATGAAATAATAAACACTAAACCTAAAATGTTACATTAATAGGGACTGTGTATGTTTTTTTCCTGAAGAGTGCCCTGATTTCCAAAGGCAGCGGAGCAGACTCTCCCCACCCCCCCAGCTGGCCCCTCCTGAACGTAAACAGTCAGAGCCGGCAGGAAGGGGCAGCCCTGGCTGCTCACTGTCTGCCAACCTCCCTCAATATGGCTGCTTCAGGGAGAAAGAGGATTGCCTGACATTCACCTCTAAACCCCAGCGACCGCAGACAGTAGCATGACACTGGGGAAGGCTGGAGCACCAAAGCTGTGTTATTCTGAATGATCAACGTGGGGAGACCGGGGGGGGGGGGGACATTGCTGACTTCTCTCCCGGCGAGCAGACATCCAACCCCGTTGAACCTCTCGGATCTCATATTCTTACGCTAGAGTGGGGATGGTGAACCTTTTAAACTGAAGCCTGACATACCATCTGAACAGCCACCACATTGAGTGTGGAGCAGATACAGCCCACTACAGTTCAAAGTGTTTCAACTGAATAGGACAATTGGGGGTAAAAGTTGATAAGTAGACAATTGGACTATAATCAGTTCTAACATACCTTTCACAGAGGTTTAAATACAGTAGGTCAACTGTTAAATGGAGCTAACACCAAAGACATGACATCCCCTCTCTCCACTCAAGAGTCAGTCAAACGTTGAAAGCCACCATTTACCCACACAGAGGTTTTTTCAGTACACAGACTGTCTCACAAAAACAGGTTTAGACATTTTTGCAAATGTATTAAAAAAACAGAAATACCTTATTTACATAAGTATTCAGACCCTTCGCTATGAGACTTGAAATTGAGCTCAGGTGCATCCTGTTTCCATTGATCATCCTTGAGATGTTTCTACAACTTGATTGGAGTCCACCTGTGGTAAATGCAATTGATTGGACATGATTTGGAAAGGCACACACCTGTCTATATAAGGTCCCACAGTTGACAGTGCATGTCAGAGCAAAAGCCAAGCCATGAGGTCGAAGGAATTGCGTCGAGGCACAGACCTGGGGAAGGGTACCAAAAAATGTCTGCAGCATTGAAGGTCCCCAAGAACACAGTGGCCTCCATCATTCGTAAATGGAAGAAATTTGGAACCACCAAGACTCTTCCTAGAGCTGGCCACCTGGCCAAACTGAGCAATCGGGGGAGAAGGGCCTTGGTCAGGGAGGTGACCAAGAACTCGATGGTCACGCTGACAGAGCTCCAGAGTTCCTCTGTGGAGATGGGAGAACCTTCCAGAAGGACAACCATCTCTGGAGCACTCCACCAATCAGGCCTTTATGGTAGAGTGGCCAGACTCAATTTTAGAATAAAGCTGTAACATAACAAAATGTGAAAGAAGTCAAGGGGTATGAATACTTTCCAAAGGCACTGTATATCTACAAAAATAAGACAGATCCTGCTTCTGTTGCATGTTTGAGTGTTTGTTTAATAGCCTACGGATTCCGTGAGCACCAAGCCTAACGCAACCACAACATGTCGGATAAACAGTTTCACAAATTCAAATGTTTTTAATCTTTGCTATGCTGTTATAAAGGCTTTACACTTTGTTTCTCTCTCGTTAGAACAGCCTCTCTAGTATTACTTATCATTTATTTTGTGTTGTTTACACTGTTCCAAATTGTCTGAAAAATGATAATAACCCTCCTTTTTCTTGATGTTCTTATTGTTATTATCCCTATTATGATCATCATTATAATAAGTCATGTCATTATCATTAGAAGGCTTAGTATAGCAGCCTTGTATAACCATCATCGATCGAGCTGTAGGTCTAAGAGAGCCTCCTGTTTAGTCTTAATACCGTAACTTCCTTATGCTTATGCCTATATTTCAATACTTATAAGCTACTGTATCAATCAATCATTCATTCGTTCATGTCATCACACAGCATACGGGTCATTCATAATTTGAAATGCAAACAAGCATTTTAGTTCTAAAATAAAATAACAAAGCGACCCTTAGCTGCAAACAATAAATAAACCGTTCCATTTCGGCAATTGCATTCACGAATGCATGCAACTGTTTTTTTTTTGCTGTAATAAAGGCTTTACAAAAAAATTAAAAATTAAAACATTACAACATACTCTCTGGTACACTTAGAATTTATTTAGTGTTGTTTACATTGTTCCAAATGGTCAAAAAAAATTAGATTGTAATCTAACAACCCCTGTTTGGCACACGCAGTGCTTTCTCCTTACTTTATTTTTCTTGATCTCCAGTATTTTCCACAACTAGTCAAATGTATTCCACACATCTGACTTCCCCTTTACCTCCTGAGCAACCAGTAAACAAACATTCCCCCGTTTCGAGTTTGTCACGTCCTCTGCATCCATTTTTCTTTCACAGTGTTACGTGATCAGAGTTTGTTATAACCAATTTATTGATGCGATTATGATATGCTATAGGTCAGGCCCTATTGGTCACGTGCATGCAATGCATACATGTGTCACGTAAAGAGAGCAAGGGTTAAGGGAATAGGGAATGTTTTTCCTAAACAAATTAGAGATTTCAGTAAAATAACTTTTCAGTTAGAAATGACAGGTCAAAAGATCGATTGGTCAAAAGAACAGACGACTCTCGGTCGACGAAGAATTGTTTTAGTCGGGGACAGCCCTAGCAAGATTGCATAAAAAATGTAACAACATGTTCAACAACAAGGAAAGGGTAGAATGTGTGCAACAGGAAAAGGTGTACACACATAAAACGAATAAAAACTAGTTTCCCTCCTGTATTTCCTCCTTTTCTCTATAGTAGGCCTACCTCCCCTCAATGTGAATGCACTTAAACTAATAAAATGTCCATCAAGCACAGAGCCAGAAACGAAAATGATCCTTAACACATTTTCAGTTGACATTCCTGACATTAGTTAATGTTCTTCTGTTCCCTTTGAATTTACAGGCCTATCTAATATTCAAATCAAGCCACAATGCTTGTTCTGTTGCTTCGCAGGATTGTATCAGATTCGCTCCAAGCACAAAACAATTCTAAACTGAATTCCAAAAGTTCCTTGAGAGAGGAAGGTGAGAACGAGAGAGGGAAAAGAAACATACAGTATCTGATCATGCTTGGAGGGAGTGAATCCATTAAGGGGTCCTTCTCACATAGCTCAATTTCCTCCTTTATTTGTTAGTTTAATTGAAATTAAGGGCTGACCAAAATGCAGGGGATTGTTTGTGACCCATGCAAAGACAGTCATTCAGTAATCTGGCAAAAACAAATCTGATAAAATGCTGACCAGTGTAAAAATTGAAAAAGATCTACAGGCATTTTGTTACGATGGCATTCCCTACAAAAATTGACAGGAAATGTCACTCAAGATATAGAAACAGCACCAAACGCAATTAATGACCTCCAAGACTACAAAGAAATTCTAACCACGACAGTAGTGGTGAACATTTCTATTGAATTCTGCACTCCTGAAAACCGCCTCATGTTTGCCGGTGGTGAAGCTCATTTTCAATTCTCTTTGAAGACGAACATCCTCATTGTGTTGGGATTTCATCCCCTCCTTCCTATTCTATCCTGTTTCCCCTCCTATTCTGATAAACACTGCCTCCCCAGTCCTTACAGACAGAGAGAGAGAAGACAACGGTGGAATCAATTCAAACACTACATTCAGCTCCATTTTCATTCCATTAACAGATGCAAGATGGTACATTTTTAATGCCACAATGTGTTTGCATAAATCATGCGACAAGACTATTGGCTATTCCAATGTAGTGAGCTAAACATGTCATGCTCAAACGTACTATCAGAACACTCAATCACACAGCATAACAGACACACTGAATGTGAATCAGTAAAAGGTCAATTAAAGGACAGATTTAACTAATCTAATGTATTACAGACTTACTTGCCTAAATTTTAATCCGATGTACTGTATTTTACTCAGATAACCCCATCTGCTGGTTCACAGGGAAAATTGACAAGAGTCTTGAAATGACAAAATATTAAAATCTCACTCTCTTTCTCCTAAGATTTTGTATTTCTGGCCTAAAAGGAGACAAGAGTCATGGAAAAGCAAGCATCTCTAGCCTATATGTGTGAGCAAAACAACGGCAAAGCCTAAAGATGTGACAATCTGTAATTGAGGTAAATATACTGAATAAAAATAGAAACGCAACATGCAACAATTTCAAGGATTTTACTGAATTACAGTTCATATAAGGAAATCAGTCAACTGAAATACATTTATTAGGCCCTAATCTATGGATTTCACATGACTGGGAATACAGATATGCATCGGTTGGTCAAAGATACCTTTACAATGAGCCTCACAATGGGCCTCAGGAGCTCGTCACGGTATCTCTGTGCATTCAAATTGCCATCAATAAAATGCAATTGTGTTCGTTGTCCGTAGCTTATGCCTGCCCATACCATAACCCCACCATGGGGCACTCTGTTTACAACGTTGACATCAGCAAACCGCTCGCCCACACAATGCAATACACGTGGTCTGCGGTGTATGGCAACACTAAAGCGAAGTTGGAGGCTGCTTATGGTAGAGAAATGATCATTCAATTCTCTGGCAAATGCTCTGGTGGACATTCCTGAAGTTACCATGCCAATTGCACGCTCCCTCAAAACTTGA